ATTGCCGCGATGGCGACGGAACTGCAGCAGGCCACGGACCGACTCGACCTGGAGCGGGGCATGACGCACGAATTGCTGCGTAAACACGACGTAATAACGTCATGTCGTTGCGTTGTTTTACCTGTAGTTGCGTTGTTTTACCTGTAAAAAATACTTTTAAAATATGTTGCTGTTTTGGGCGACAGGAATGGATGCACAAAGCAACTGGGCACTCGCGGGCACCGAGCGACTTGAGCAACTCACCTCCAAACGCAAGCCACAGCGTGTCTGGGCTCCAACAAGGATCGCTTTTTCACGAACTTTCACTGCAATTTGCTCACGATGTCGGGCCCCTTCAAGCCCAGGTACGAATTATAGTTAAAAGTAGTGCTCGGATTATAAAATCCACAGGTGGCCGAGTTGAAGCAAGCGTTGGAAGCTGCCACATCAGCACATACAGTACGCCTCTGTCGAATATTACCTCGGTTTAAGAACACTAAGTCAATGTTGGAGCAGGCTAAAATTACAGCGTTGCAGCGCGAGATGCAGGCTGTCGTCCACGCTCGACACGACGCAGTTTCCCAAATCGCCCAAGTACGAACGTCGAATACCTCCAATAATAAATATAAATATATTGTTCACCAACATGACCTTGTCAGATGAAAGGAGCGCTCGCCACCGCCGTCCAATCGACGCAGGTACAAACTAATATTAATAATTATACTATTCAACAGCAATATTTATTTATTAATATTCAAAATAATAATGAACGGATATACAATCGATATTGATATATAGGACTGGGAGCAAAAGTACCTGGCGCAATCTCGCGATGTGGATATGCTGCAACTGCAGTTGGAGACGGCGGCCGATGGCTTGACCGAGAGCTCGTACGAACGGTGTTGTCTCGATGGATATTCTTGCTTTACTGATATATATATATATATATCTTAAATATAATATTAATCTATACTAGCATTGCATTATGTTGGGGTGTGAGAGTAGGAAGACCATCCAAGAGTTACGCGACAAGGTGGCCAAGTCGAACGAAGGGCATGGGCTGGCGTTGCAGCAACATAGTCGAGAAGTGCGCATATATATTATATATATATATATATTATATATTACCAACAAAAAAATATATTATGTAGATGCGAACGCTGCAGGCCAAGTACCAAGATTTGCAACGCGTGTACGCTGACCACGTGGCCAAGTGGAAGTCCTTCGTAGCTCATGTACGCGGATAATATATATATATATATATATATCATTAATATGGGCTTAACTCTGTCGCATGAATGTGTGGGCAGACTTCCCACCACGAGGCCGACCACCATACACCGCCAAACGAGTCGAGCGTGTCACTAGTCGAGCAAAAGCACCAGGCGTTGCTCGCGAATGCCCAATCGATGCAGGCCAAGTACGACCTCGTTCTGGAGCAACTCGACGCGGCGGTACATCGTACATCGACTTGAAATGCTCATATTATAGTATGGTGTAGACTCGTCGCATGCACACCGCGGAATCCAAAGTTCAAGAACTCTCGCATCACGTACGTACGAAATTGCTCTTTCAATGCTGTACATATATATATATTCTGCACGAGTATTGTATTATTAGCTTTAATTTTGAATGAAGAGGAGGATATTTATCTGGTGCTGTCTGTCGTTGGTGTAGTTGGCGACTCAAACCCACGAGCTGGACCAAGTGACGGAGCTGTGGAACGAAGCCAAGGTGACCATGGACGTTCTGCAGCAACAGAACGAGGTATATATAGTTCTTTATGGATCGATCGATCGATGGGATTTAAGAGTACTTATTGTGCTTTCGAGTGAAATTTCGTGTTGTGGTGTGGTTTCTCGTTGGAATTTAAATCGATTTGATTGGCTACTTCAGAAGAGTTCAAAATTATTAGCCAATCAAAACATTCTCTATGAAATTTAACCAATCAGATCGATTGTGGATCGATTTAGTCGGCGCGATTCGATTGCACCCCCTCCCCAAATTTGTATCAAATCGACAATACTTCGCACTAGTATTCTTCTTGATTTGGTCCGAAGAATATATCCGGACTCCATTCAATCGACCAAACCCATCGGTGTGACTTCCTTATCGGTGATTGGCTATATTTCTTTTGACTTTGAGCTGTTTCTGTGCAAAAAAGCCTATGAAAAATATCGGGGTGACATTTGTGATCGGGTTTGCGACGACTCGCGGAGAAGGAGCGGGAGAAATGTGTAGCAAATTCATTGCAGTATATATTGATGTATATATTTGTGAATTACCAGGAGCTGTCGAATCAGCTACAGATGACGACTGCCTCATCTCCGTTGAAAAAGCGATCGGCGAGTGAGACGTATCGGCGGACGCTGCTCCAGCGAGGCTCTCTCTTCCATGAATTGTCTGCCCATGTCGAGCAAGAAGTCGAAAGTGCCAGGGCCACCACCGCGGTAAGAGCGCCATCTGTATATCAAATACCAACATGCAAGAGATGACAACACGAGCCTCATGGGATATTGTGTAGGGGGATTTGGCTGATGTAAGTGCAAAACCAAATTTACTGGAGGAGCAAAGTAGTAGGGACGGAAGAATTGGTTTATATGCTAAGTTGTATGTGGGGGGGATGTCTAGGAGCTGGACCGAGTCAACGCCTTGTACGAGTTGGAAGTAAAAAAAGTTGACAAGCTCCAACAAGCCCTGCGGACACGCGATGCCGCGGTAATATATTCATTGCTTTCACAATAGTATTTGCATTCGGATTATCATGATCTTGAATATATATATATATATATATATTATTTACTTATTTTTGGCATAAACAGTCGTATTTTGAACGATCGTAGGAGTTGTTTTGCATCCGAGCCAAGTACCAACGAGCAGTCGACCGCGTCAAGGACTTGGAGGTTCTCGTGGCTTTCTACACCCCTAAATCCCCCCCGCACACGATCTTCAGCTATCCCACGACCACGGTATACTATCATCGAGAATATATATATATATATATTTATATATAGTAGTAACCCTTGAATAGGTCCAGCCAAAAACGCCGGTCAGTTGCCAGCGCTTTCGTGACTTCCCATGGGACATTCAACTGAAACCGATTCCCGTGCTCAACATGTCTGACATGCACACGATTGCTGCCAACGGCGTCAAGTAGCACCAATTATCAAGCAAAATCAAGAGCAATAGCCTGCAAAATGAACCCAGTTATAGCCAAATATCACTGGTTTCTTGATGAAGTGGTTCAAAGTTGGAGATTGAGTTATTATTGTGCTTTCGAGTGAAATTTCCACACCCTCTCGAATCACGAATCGACGGTATTGGCGGCTAATCCACGTTTTCAACGGATCTGATTGGCTCTTACCGAATAGACAAGTATATTCAGCCAATCAGAAGCTCCAGTGTGAATAGAACACCTTGCGAATTTTAGTGTATAGCAAAAAAAAATACGACACCAGTACGACTTTATGTTACATGCGATGCTAGCTTTTCCAGGCTCGGGAACCTACATACAGTATATAGGGACTCCTGTACTAGTAAACTTTATGTCCTATGCAACCCACAATGAACAATGCGACGGTGGTCTTAAATAGGATAGTTATGACGCGGTATCAGGATATAGATCCTAATTGTGACGCAATATCAGGACTTATGTCCTAGTTGGAAGCTTCGTCGTCCGTGAACCCGTTGTGGTCGACGATGTACTCGGAAAATGCCTGTGTGGCAATCAAACACGTTCGGAACGGCCGCATGACCACGGGCGACGACGCCAAGTACCCTGCTTCGTCGAAAAATACCATCTTGTCCTGGTACTGGTCGTCCCACAAGTAGCGAAACCGACCGAAGTGGACGTCTTCTACGCCCCCCTTGCTGGTTGCAACGTCCTCACTTCCTACGCAATATATGAATATATATATCGTGAGTCCATCAAATATGCTTTTATCGAGGCAACTATATCTTTTTCAATAATATATATATATATATATACCAATGACCGCAAGGACGGCGTCGTGAAAGGCCAGACGGACGCGACGCTGGGGAAACTCGCGCGGCTGCCGCTCAAACGAGTGGCTAAACACGTGGTCGCTCTTGGTTACGTGCAGCTTGACGCATTGCCGCAACGTCCTGCCAAAATACAGAATATATCAAATATATATATATATTTAAAGATGACCAAAATAGTATATCTCGGTGATTCTCTTGTCAACAACCGCAACACAACAATGGGGAAGCTTGTACATATATATATATATATATATGTACAAGCTTATATATATATATATTTGCCATATATTTCCACATACGCATGCAACGTCTTCCACACTGGAGACGGCAAATCCACGGGCAACTCGCCCTGCACGACCACGCCCGTGTCCAAGTCGACGCACACCACTTCATGTCCAACTTCGCCTACGCAACCACTTTCAATCGTCGATTTTAAAT